TCAGATTGTTTTCTAAGATTGGATTTCTTCTCTTCTTTCTTTCTCTGTGATGTCATCCTTGACTTTCTGGTCAGTTGGATGTTTGTTTCTTTTTTATTTTACTTTTTTTTCTTTCTTCTTCTTTTTTTTTTTTTAATTTTTCATTTTAATTTAGGTTTTTGCCATAGGGCACATGTGCTCCTCAGAGAGAGTTAGAAAAAGACAGTGAAAGGGAAAGTGAGAACTCACCCCTGTAGGGGGGATGGCCATACCACAATCCCTTCTCCATTCTCCTCCTGGGATTTTGGGCACGAATGTGTGCGTGCGCACACACACATATGCACACACGCCTAGCATGATTTTTCAAGCCTCCAGGTCCAGGACTTGAGCTGTGGTAAGTCAAGAGAGTAAGTTTAGCACCTTAACAATTATGCCACCTGCAAGCCCCTTTCTTTTACTTAAAAAAAAAAAATGTTATGGGGCAGTGCACTGTAACACATTTGAGAGACAGACAGACAGAGAGAGAGAGAGAGAGAAAGAGAAGGAGAAAGTGAGAAAATACCCGCCACCTCTCCTCGGCTCCCTCCCGCTTCCAGAGGCATGGTCACACCACAATTCCTTCACTTTCATTCGTCTCTTGGGATTTTGGGTACATATGCGCACATGCCTGGAGTATTCCTGAAGCAACCAGATCTGGAACTCAAAATGCTTCATTGACCATGTGGGATCCAGCCACTTTAGTCACCACACCACCTGCCGGCCCGGTGTTTGTTTCTTTATACATACCTCAATTTTAGGGTGATTACACTGTAGTCTTGCTATTGGTCTATTTGCCCATTATTTTACTAGATTGCGATTTCTTCCAAGGAAAAGATAAATTCTTATTTATTTTAGAAGTGTTCTTTATTTCCAAAGTGGTATGATGAGAATAGTGCTCAGAAGTTTTGAAAACTTCTTTGCCTGTATACAAAAGAAAGTCTTTGGCCAGGGCCCTTTTGAGTCAGTCAAACTATTCAGATTTTCCTTCATGGTACCTAGCATGATGCTCTGCAGTGAATAGGTGTTCAATAAATACCAAGTATTTGATGCTTTTGTCTGTGAAGTAGCTGAAATAATGTTAGCAATGAGGACATTTATTATTAAATATACTGTTGTGGGTAAATTAACATTTTCATGTTCATCTTAGTGGCAGAACTCTGGATCAGGCATGAGAAAAATGAAAAAATTACTCATTTTAGAGCTAGTATTGAGGATTTCCTTTCTTCTCTGGGTTGGGCAATGGTTCCAGAATCTTGTGTACAATTAAGGCTTGGAGGTATGGCTGTGGAGAGTGGTATGCCATGGTCTAGGAGGGTTGCTGCCAAGAGTCTACCATCCCCATTCGTGCCTGGCTGAAGGCCCAGGAATCTCTCTTTTGCAGCTGCCCCTGGTTCTGTCCTCCTAGGCAAACCATGCAGCCATTTCCCCTGCTGTGGTGCCTCCTTCCTAGGAGCATGGCCCTTTCCTCCGCCTGCATACTTCTCCTGGCAATGCTTACGTCCTGTAAAGGGGAGTTTGAGATGAGATGAAGAATCTTCTTTCTCTTCTTCTTCTTTGACTCTTATTACCCTTTCACCAGGGGTGGAGTCTTTTATACAATGAAAGCTAGAGGACCTTAGCCTATGCATGTTTTCCATCATGTCTCATCCCTCTCCTGAGGAAATAACTGCAGAATCCCTATTGGCATGAATTAAGGGGTTGAGAGATAGGAAAACAATACATGGAGAAAATAAAAGCTAGCATAGAGACTGATCTCTCAAAATACTGTCCCTGAAATAGTGGTTCCTAGTAAACCTTCGGGTCTCATTGAAATGGAGAGAATAGAGCTCGTACAGAGACAGTGAGTACTTAATAAATATTAGCTATTATGTTTATCCTGGGCTCCTCCACCCAGAGCAGGACCTGGTTTTGTTTCACATTAGGTCCTCCTGGGCAATCATTCCCGCACCCAGTGTAGTGCCCAGTTGTGTGAGTAATCTTTTCCCCAGAGACAGTTCAGCCTGAAGTTGAGCCCATTTCTGGTCTCATTGTAGGTAGGCTTTGTATTGCACTTTTACAGAATTCTGCCAAATTTGGGTCCAGGTGTTGTTCATGGCTATTTTGGTAGCTCTGGGGTTAGACAGTTACATTGAATTTCAGAAGTAGCAAGTACTTTTTGGCATTGAAGTCTTTAATTAAATTCAACAAGCATTTATTGAGCACCTAGAGCATGCAAAATACTATTCCTTTAAATATAAAACATTTGGCCCTTATCAAGTTTGTCTGTGTTGACTACTCAATTTGGATTAATGGTGAGCCATCCTTAAGGGTTTTATAAAGAATAAATATTAAAATAGAAAAACATTTGCACAGTACTTTGCAAATATAAACGTCTCGTGCAGATTATTGTTGCTACAGTATTAATATTAATTGCAATAACAACACTACCACTTCCCAGGCAGGCAGTAGAGAGCAGCTGTAGGCCAACAGGAGCCAGACGGAAGAGGTCAGGGGAGGTGCCTCCAGCACGTCCGGCCCAGAAGGGGCGGAGTCTTCGGCAATATACCCAAACCCCGCCCCTCCCCCGCCCCTCCGTCGGGACGGCGTAGGCGGTTACTATGGCGATGACGTCTAGAGGGCGGGGCGGGGCGGAGCTATGGAGAGGAGGAGGAAGATGGCGGGCGGGCGGCTCTGAAGAGACCTCGGCGGCGGCGGAGGA